TTTTAAATACAGCTTTCTGTATGGTGTTCGATGCTAGGAGATAACAGGTGACTAGATTTCCTTCTTTAAAGTATCGAATAAGAAGAACATACCTAAACTTTTAAGAGATTGACATCGTAAAATGGTGGAGAATATTTGTAATTCAAGATGTACAAAGTGAGCTACAATTCCGGTTGATTGACGTTTCGATATCTTGCTATATACTGTCACCAGTGCATCCATGAAACTGTCGTCTGAGATACTGATGTAAAAAGGGTTCTCATGTATACTGTGACCCTCAAACCTCTATCAACCAATTCAGACAACTACTTAGTCTGAAAAATTGTTAAACTTCAAATCAATACCTTCTGCTGTCCAAACTTTCTGGATTATCACATATCCAAATGAGTAAGATCTGAATTTATGGAACATTAACGCTTCCTTTGATGACAAAATGATAAAGCAAACCTTACTGTTCATTACTTCGAATGATAAAAATTCAAATTATTACTGTCTTCGAGGTTAGAACTTTTATAGTTCAAAACTTGAATGAGAGATATCACCATTCAGTAGCTACCAAGAGTTTTTCTTAACCTCAAACAATACTCATGGGACATACTTAACTGTGTAACCACATAAAACTTGGTGTTCATGTTCAAAAATTCTCACTTTTAAAAAGGTTATCTACATCACCTAAATTTATAAACCAATAAATATAAAGATACATCAACACGTATAACCAATGGTTGAAAAGAAAACGAAATTTCGTTTTACTTAACAAGAATACTTGGAGTTAAATGTTTGTTGTTAGACTGATAACTTACTGTCACGAAATAGGATAGTGATTAGACGATAACGTCATCCACTTAGTTTGTTCAGTAAGTTAGGGTCTTAATCTCAGCATTCTGATCTTGTGCTCTACTTGCCACCTCTTATTCATCTATTGGTTGACTGAATCAGAATTAATTGAGGAACATTTAAGCTTCTTAAAGTAACGATTTCTTGATACCATTGACTGTATTACGATAGTATTTTGATGGTGGATAGGAGCAAAGTAAAAGCTTTACATTTCATCCTGTCTACAGGTGATCTAATGACTTGACCTGCAGCCATATTAAATTTTGACAGGATCACGAGTTTATTACTACATCCTCCTCATTTTCAGTGAAATAAACCGACCATAAATGATATAAAGGGTATAATTACGCATTAGAGGTGATCCTCGCAATTTTCTGACCGTATAACGAACAATTTGGTTTTTGATACTATGAACTGAACCCATGTTTCCAAAAGGTGACGAACAACGTCTTAGTTACACTTAAGTTCATCTGAAGAGCCTCAAGCTGGGACAAAACGAATAGCATTGCTTCTAAAGTCAACTAGCACTTAATTTGGGTTCAAAGCTTTGATGGATAGTTAAGCAAATTGCAATAGATCATACAGTTTACTATGTCATCTATACGTGTACATTTCATCATCATAATTTGGTATTCCTTTGGAAGCTTACAACTTTTCTGAAGTGCTACTTTAAGTTAAATACAAGAGATCACGATTAAGAAGAAAGCAGTCTAAGTTATTCTACCTCAATATACGAAGAGAAATCTAGCCTGGTTAACTAGTTAGCTAGTTACTAGCCGGTCCTAAGCCCACTTAAAGAGAGAAGGTTGGGCATACGGCTAGCAACCCTAACTCGGAAAACCAATCCAACCGCTAAAGAAACTTCAAAACACAAACAAAATATGAAACATAAAACAAAGTTATTCCTCGCTGGAATCGGAGAGACGAAAGGACGCCGGTTGGTGAAAGCCTTCCAGAAGCCAATTAGCCGATATCTCTTCTCTCGATGAAAGCGAAAGTAAACATATAGACACGGAATGCCCGCATCATGTTTGAACCTAGCAAGGCAGCCCAGATTGAGAAGTAGATGAGGAAATATGGCATGGAAGTGCTTGGAATCTGCAGAACTACCAGTGAACACAGGCCCTCCGATAAAAGCAGAAGTCCTGAGTGCAATAAAACTGCTGAAATGCAGCAAAGCGGCGTGACCAGATAGAATTCCACCAGAAGCACTGGAAACAGACACAGAGACAACAGTGGACATGCTCAAACCACTACTGTAAAACGTTTGGAAGGAAGGAAGGGAAGGAAGAAGGGCTACCTTGTCAAAATCCCAAAGAAGGGTGACCTAAGTCTTTGCAAGAACTGGCGCGGAATCACGATCCTGTCCACTACAAGCAAAATATTTAGAGGCATCATCCTGGAGAGACTAAAAGATACTCTGAATTCAAAATTACGACCGGAACAGGCAGGCTTCAAGAAGAACAAATCATGTGCAGATCAAATTGTAACGCTACGCATCATGATAGAACAGAGTATAGAATGGCAGTCAACACTCTACCTTAACTTTATCGACTTTGAAAAGGCCTTCTACAGCGTCAACCGAGAAACCTAAAGGAAGTTGTCTCTTTCACCTACCTCTCCACCTACACAACATCTTCCCAACTACAGGCGACATAGACGAGGATGTCAAAACCAGGATCGGAAACACAGCAAAACACACCTTCATTAGTCTTAAATCAGTGTGCAGATCTACTGCACTCCACTCAGCATAAAGCGTGAACAACATGCAGATTTTCAACACTAATTCAGTCAAGTAGGTCAGTGCTTCTATGTGATGGTTCAGAAACTTGGCGGCGCGTCACGAAAAGCACTTACAACAAACTGCAGACATATATCATCAACACCTGCCGCCTACACTCGCTCGGTACTGACGATCGATAAGATTGCCAGAATAATGAGAATAATCACCAAGGGACTGTGGTTGGCAACGAACCAACCAACAATCTATCACCAAACAAATATGCAGAGGAAGAAATTGGCGACGGATTGGATTGGGTATGCACTGAGAAGGCCGACTGAGGACATCGCGTGCCAGGTCAGGTACTCGAGTGGAATGCAAAGGGGAAATGACGAGTTGGGTGTGGAGGTGAGCGTGATATGGAGGAGATGGTGTGAGGAAGAAACGAAAGCTTGTGGGTAGTCGTGGAGTGAGGTTCAAAAGACTGAAGAGAAGAGAGTGGAATGGAGATGTGCTACTGCAGCCCTTTGTTCCACTGGGAACCCAAGGGAAAAATAATAATAGCACAAAGAGATTTCTTGTTTACTTGATTTAACTCTGTAGCCTACCAAAAATAATAATATGGGTGGATAGAAAGAAAATTGCAATCGAAGAAAGATTTAACACACCGGAATGGAATACTTAAGTGTTGAACACAAGTTTACTCAACTCTAAGGAGTACTATTATGTCAATAAAAGAAACATCGAAATTAAAAATCCTTCTTATCTTAGAAATTTTGGAGTGTGTATATATGAAATAAATTACGTAGTGGAATAGAAGACGTACGTTTCATCCTATTTCAGATTCGCCAGTTAGAAACACCCGCTTCCTAGTGAGTGGCGTTGTTCCCACGTAGATTCAAATACAGTATCCGTCAATCCATAAACTAACAACCGATACTCAAGAGATGGGTGTCATGCTGTAGTGGTCTAACGGATAACGCCTTAAAGTTCAAGCTGTTGAGTACTTGGTTTGACCTTCAGTGGGAACAACATCATTCACTGAGATCCAGGTGCACCCAGCTGACGAGTCCTCAATAGAACGAGACGAACAACCTGGATCCCATAGCTAATCATTAATATAAATGTAACTTTGTGAATACCCGACAGTACTGAGGTACCACAAAGTGGTTCATCTGTCATCAGACACCGAGCATTTCACATCTATAGGTAACGGAAAATTATATGTGTTATGTTACATCAAGTATATATCTTTCTGAAACTAAGTGGATTTCGCTGTGAAGTAAGTAACTGAGAAATTGATGTCTTGAGTTGCTGGGCGACATAAAATGAAAATTTATTCCATATTAAATTTGTTGATTTGATATACAGTGCACAGTGTGGTACAGTATTATTTACTTGACGACGACGTTTCAAACATCAATTATTACTGCTCACAATAGCATCAACATAATCACAGTACTCTCGACATTTGATTATTATAGTCCTTTCACCTCTTATTCTATATTTCTGTTGGCAGTAAACTTTCCCATATCTCTAATATACGTGCAGCGTCATTCTTACTACACAGGTGTTGGGCGCTGTTTGGTTCGATGAACAAGGACTCGGTAGTCAATTTCTCTCCCTCTCTCTCTCTCCTATGGTCACCAGAACCCTAACCAGGTGGTCAATTTGTAGATAACAACAAATGATTTACCTCAGAATATGAATACTCAGATTTAGCTACTTTTCAAAGCTGATGTTATGATCAATGGGTACTTGTGTGTCGCGCAAGATATGAGTATCATTACAAAACAATCAGAACCCCTTTCCACCTGTCAGGTTCCAGATGGTTCATCACCTGGTGCATAAACTTAAGTTACATTTTTATTTACATACAGTTCCAGAAAGATATGTTAGCTTGTATTTCTAGAAGGCAATTCTACCCGAGTTCAGTCTGGGCAGTAATAATTTTTACCAATGTCTATCCGGGGATAGTTGTTAGAAGTTGAACGGAAGTTATCAGTAGAAAACCCCTCACTTGACCTATGTTTTGTGCATTTTTAGCACTCATCCGTAAGGCATGTCTGTAACTTCAACGGAATTCATTTCCTACTTGAAGCTCGAACTCACGTGACTCAATGGTTCATTCAAAGACGTCATCACTGTACCATTTGCGTGGCTTTTGACCTTTTGTAAAAGTGGATTAGGTACACTGATTAGTCCTTGGAGGATAAGCAACTTTATATTTTCTAGTCCTGAGTACTGACCAAATTCTGTCAATTAATTGGCAGTGTGGCTACAGTCCGTTTAATATCATACCCTTTTACATAATTTCATGCAGAATTATGAGTTTTTCACAGCTTAAGTCCTTCTAACTGAACCTTGTACGGTTTTAACATTTAATCGACCTTCTTTGTACTTTTTTCCTGAATCTCATTTATCCGTATTCTTTTTCCTACAGATAAACAACAGGATTCCTCTGATTTGAATTATGTAAAATCTGTACCATTCCATTTAAGTGGTGTAAGTCGTCGGTCAACACCGTGTGGTCAGGATGAAATTGTAAAGAAATGCAATGGAGGCATTTGTTTAAATCTAGGCGGAGATGGATATACTTGTGAATGTCTCAGTGGATATAGATCAGTCAATGGAGGACGTGAATGCGCGAAATCTAAAGGTTTGTTAGTTTCTGTTGTATTCATTAACAGTTCATATCTTTAGTCTTAAGGTAACTTACCTCATAAATACTCAGCGAATACAAGAACTGATTGAAAAACACTAGTTAAAAGTCATACGATATAATACTTTTAATAAAATGTAATACAGAATATGTTATTTTATATTTTTATCAGACGTGTATTGTTTTTCCAGTTGAAAGGCGAATATATTACGTCACTGGAACCAAAGATCCTCCACACTACAAAACATCACAATACTATTATGTGACGTTATTAGATGAAGGTCGAAACAGGACGAAACAGCTGTTCAGTGCTCCCAGGTTTCCAGTGTTATCCCAAATCATGTCAATTCATGATAAATACCAACCTGAAGTAAACTATTATCTGAAGAAAAGCTAGGGAGATGAAAAGCAGAAGCGTCGGAAACGAAGATAGAGACGGTTTATTGCACAAGCTGCTTCGAAGACATATTCAAAGAAACGTACACTACTTCCCTAATTAATTTTTATGCCGTGAAAGCTACAATATGCTTGTCATCAGTTTAGATTTATGAAACATATCTGGTAACGTATCCAGTTACCGAGTCCCGTCGGTATTCATCCACAGAGTTGCGGCGTTCCAATAGTTGCTAGTTCAGTAATAGCTATCTCCCATCACATGACGTTCTTTGCGGGTGTTGTGTTCTCTGAGCTGAATTGTTTAGTCGTGGAGCCTTCATTATCCTTCTAGTCAACATCAGCATTAACTTCAAAAGAAGTACACTACAAAGTCCTCTCCACAATTTATTCAGTAGCTTATCCTGATCGTCCTGTGTGTGATTGGTTTTTTCGGTCAAGGTCCTGCCATTGTCGTCATGTTCACTTCGATTGGTTGTCTTAATGACGTGAAATTTGATCTTTCTGTTGTTCCTTATTGGTTGATAAATTGAGCCAATGTCAATATGTCTGTTGATTACTGACTGACCTGAATGCCAAGCTTCTAAATATTTTCTAGCACTCTGTATGTTTCATCTATCTACCTAGGATTTCCACATTTTCCCAGTCAAATTCATGTTCACATATGTCTGCTGCATGCATTGATATGATTGAAGATATATCTATGACGCTTCACTGCTAGCTGATATTCATGTAGACGGATGTTGAAGAGGGTGATCACTCTGTACGATGTAGGGTTTTTAGCAGTTTCTGTAGATTATTTTGTAGATAATGTTTAGTTTGTCTTCTTTTACTGTGTATCTCTTGGCTTGCATAACAGAGACTGAAGAGATTTTGTTGGCTCGTGAGATACAGCTATTCCAAAAGGCTTCAATAATCTGGTCATGATCTTGGAGACGTTCTTCGTGTGGGATCAGAAAATTCGTTTGTTCTAGGTTGACTTTTTGGTAGACAACTAATTACATGAACACCTTATGATAAAGTTCCGTGAATATTCAGTCTTCTAGAGAACAGTCATCAAATTGTTTTCTTCTTTTCTCCGCAGGTTCGACGTACTACAGTGTGTTTTCGCTCTTTTGAACAATGTTCTTATACAACTGATTTTGTGCGCCGTTGAGTTGTTGATGTTGTAGGTGGGGATTTTCTATGCAGGCCAAAATATACAAAGGGAGACAAACCAAACATTATCTACAAAATAATCTACAGAAACTGCTAAAAACCCTACATCGTACAGAGTGATCACCCTCTTCAACATCCGTCTACATGAATATCAGCTAGCAGTGAAGCGTCATAGATATTATCTTCAATCATATCAATGCATGCAGCAGACATATGTGAACATGAATTTGACTGGGAAAATGTGGAAATCCTAGGTAGATAGATGAAACATACAGAGTGCTAGAAAATATTTAGAAGCTTGGCATTCAGGTCAGTCAGTAATCAACAGACACATTGACATTGGCTCAATTTATCAACCAATAAGGAACAGCAGAAAGATCAAATTTCTTCAGTATTCCTAACTCTTTCTAACGACCAGTCTGAACAACCATCTGGCAACTCGACATCTGAAGAACCCAACTGCTCCACAGTTCAAGACAAACTCTCAACCTTCTGTTCTGTATACTAAAGATATAGCAGATGAGTAGCTGGATCTACTGCATCGGAATCCGCTAAAGGCCTGAGATTGTTCTGCAAGACTAAGAAGTGAGGAAGAAGAAATCAACTGGTTTACACAAGCTCGTTAAACAGATATTGGATTTAAATTATCGTAGATTTATACACAGAAAGTTGCTGTTTGTATGTATCGCATATTTTGGATACACTAGTATGTTTGGCACAGGTAGTGTTTGTCAACAATAAAAGCAAGATATGCACGAAACAGATACACTAAATTATATGAAAAATAAATATAAATGTTTCGATAGATATGATTTGAGGATAATTGTGGACAAACTTAATGAAGTTTCATATTGACATAAAAAAGCAATTTACAAGTCTGCATCAGCTGGGATATATTTCTGGCAAAGAATCCTAGGTAAAATGATAGTACATTCATTGTTTTTTTCAAACCATGAATCGTTGCAAATTCACATGAGGAGTCAGTCGATTAACCATAAATTATGATGCCATTGCACGACGATTGGCTATTGTAACTCATTAGTGTTGTGGATCCGGATTTTCAACGCTAATTTCAGCCAAGTCAGTGCTTCTATATGGTTCAGAAACTTGGCGGTGCGTTACGAAAAGTATTTCCAACAAACTACAGGTAATCATCAACAATTGCCGCCTAGGCTCCTTACTGCAGATCAGATGGCCAGAATAATAAGAATAAGCAACAAGGAACTCACTGTGACTGGCTGGCAACGAACCAACCAACAACCTATCGCTGCAGAAGAAAATGTAAAAGGATTGGGCATGTATTGAGAAGACCATTTGGGGACATCAAGCGCCAGGCAAGGCACTCGAGTGGAACCCAGATGGGAAACGACGAGTTGTGCATAGAGGCGAGGGTAACATGGAGGTGATCATGTGAGGAAGAAATGAAAGCTTGAGGAGCCAGGTTGAAAAGATTACAGAAAAGAGATTGGTATGAAGACGTGCTTCTGAAGCCCTATGTCCCACTAAGAACCTAAGGGTCAAATAATAATAATAATACATAACGATCTGGTGTTTGAAGTGATCGGCCCTGACTTCAAGTCTTAGGAGGACAACATTACTCACTGTAAAGCAGGTGTATCCAGCTGACGAGTTTTGAATGGAACGAAACACACGTCCTGGATTCATCCGCAAGCCATATATTATTTTGATACCTTTCCCACAGTGATTAATCGAAGGAATATTGTAGCTGTGACCCTTTCTTCTGTGTTGTTGTAATTCTTGAATAATGAAACAGAATCTAGAATGAAACCAATTCTGACAGTTCTTGAACAGCCTCTTCTTAGAGGATCAATTTTTTATGTCTAAATATTAGGTCATGAGAACGTTTTCAATCACACACACACACACACACATACACACACATACACACTAGACCCACCTTACCCATTTTCCTGTAATTTTTTTATGTTATCACAGTGAATGATATAATTCCATTTCATGAGAATTTTGAAAAGAGAAACTATTTCACATATTAACAATTTGATATAACAATAGTTTACACAATAAACTATGATTGATTAAAATAATTATGATAATAATTGAATGAAAGTCACTGGGAAAGATAGAAGAAAACTTTACTTCTGGAAGCTGAAGGATTTCAGTGTAAATGTTAAGGTCAAACTAGTTAGATAGTACATTTTCCATATGCTAAGCATATCTTATGAAAACTTAAATAGAAGTTGGAAATTTTTCAGAAATACTTACAATCAGTCAGTGTTCTTGAAAGATCCCTTGAATGTATTCAGTAACAGAAGGAATCGGCGATAGAATGGGATCTAATCTGAATGAATATCCACTGATATGTACCAGTGAAAGTGATCGATAGAATTTGATCAGTACTTAGAACTAGACAACATGAAGTTGGTTACCCTCCAGTGAATAATCAATGTTATTATTATTATTAGTCCCTTGGGTTCCTAGTGGAACAAAGGGCTTCAGTAGCACGTCTCCAGTGACCTCTGTTCTCTGAGATCTTTTGAACCTGGTTCCACGACAGCCCACAACCTCTCATTTCCTCCTCGCACGATCTCCTCTATGTCACCCTCGGACGTCCAACTCGTCGCTCCCCATGGGATTCCACTTGAGGGCCTGACGCGTGATGTCCCCAGTCGGCCTTCTCAGTGCATGCCCAATCCATCTCCACTTCCTTCCTTCGCATATTTGTTGGGTGATAGCTGCTTGGTTGGTTCGTTCCCAGAGCTCCTTGTTGCTTATTCTTTCTGGCCATCTGATCTTCAGTAGCGAGCGTAAGCAGTTGTTGATGAATGCCTGTACTTTATTGGAAATGCCTTTCGTGACGCGCCAAGTCTCTGAACCATACAGAAGCACTGACTTGACTGACGTTGGTGTTGAAAATCCGGATCTTGTTCCACATGCTGAGTGCAGAAGATCTCCACACTGGTTTCAGGCTAATGAACGCCTGTCTTGCTTTTCCGATTCTGACTTTGACGTCCTCGTCCGTCCCACCTGTAGTTGAAACAGTGCTTCCTAGATAGATGAAGGAGGTTACTTCTTTTAAGTTTCTCCCGTTGATGGTGACTGGAGTTTGTTGTTGTTGTTGTTGATGGTGGTGGTGCGGTATCTTCATCACTTCTGTCTTTTCTATATTCACCTGAAGTCCCGTCTTAGCTGCCTCTTCTATCAACTTGTTAGTTTTTGCCTGCAGATCTTCAAGTTTATGTGACATTAGGCATAAGTCATCGGCGAAATCCAAGTCTTCTAGGTTCTTTTCCGTCGTCCAGTGTATCCCCCTCTTCTCAGTGTACCAAACCAAATTCTACAGAAGGTCAGTCGCCGTTCGAATAGCTCATTGGTAACACCTGTAACCGTTAATACTGGGTGTTATGGGTTCAAATATCAAGCAAGACATCACTACTGTAAAGGTTGCAGATACTGACTCACTGACGATTGCTGACAAGCTGACTGATGTGGTAATGATTAACTTCCTCTACATGAGTCAATATCGTATTTGTTTTGTTCGTTAGGGTAGTGAAGACTCCGTATTCCCTAAACTATCGTAAGTGCTGCAGTTATGTACATAAATTATTCTTCATTGTACATGATCAAAAGCATATTGATAAGTTTTTAACTTATTTATTGTCTTGTGATCATTTACTAGTAAGATTGTGGGTGTACACTCGTGAAGAACACAAAACGGCTTGGTGCTCTTAACTAACTGATATCAGTCTTTGATTAAAATTACTTTCAACAGTTATTATTCATTGATAATTCTACCTTCCGGCTGGAATACTTGATCAAATGGTCTGAACATTCATCATGTCACTATTTACGATATGGTGGCTAACAGTTGAATCGCAGACACGCATCTTTTCGTGTTTTGGACTCATCAGCCGTGATGTAATTGGATTGTAGTAGGTGATGGTGTCCTCATCGAGACTCGAACCCAGCAGCCACCACTTCAGACGTCAGTGCTCCACCACTTTTAAAGATTCCCGAACTAGGATAAAACAGATATTCATGACTCTAAGGTTTTAAATGTTTCTTCAATTCATATCAGTCCAAGATGTAAAAATCACTTTTAAACCAATCCATCCTAATAAATCATTAATTGAAACAAAATTATTGTTCACTGCCTCATTCCTATCATATTCTAACTACTGTTGTCTCTTTTTTCATTAATATATTCCTTAGCAGAAGCAGACAGTTTGTGGCAGAACGATGCAAGTACATATGATGTAGTGAAAAACTTTTCTCGAATGAACAGGAAAATATCTGCAGGTAAGTTCATGAATTTTTCAAATCACTGAAATTCGTTTCATATGTAATGACAATACTTCATCTTAGTAGGAGTGCTACGCATCATCATAGAACAGAGCATAGAATGGCAATCAACTGGATCTTTACCTCAACTTCATCATCTTTGCAAAAGTCTTCGATAGCGTCGATCGAGAAGTAATTTGGCAACTGATTCAACAATATGGTTTTAGTGCCACAAACCCTTATCAACCTCATTCAACTGCTGTATGCTATGCTATAAGATGCTATATGCCAAGTGATTCACAATAGAAAGCTCAATGATACCTTCGAAGTGAAGATAGGGACAGGAATAAGACAAAGCTGCCACCTAATATCAACCAACATCTTGATTGTGGTCCACTGGATCACACAACAGACAACTGTGAGTAGCGAGAAGATGGGCATAGGCTGGCTGCACCGATGAAAAGACCCTACAACATTTGCATCTCCACCATGATGACGATTTATGTCTAATGTCTTCTTGCACAAACTCGAAGATCTACAGGCGAAAACTAACAAGACAGAAGAGGCGAGGCGAGGCAACGAAAGAACACGAGAATTCTTCAGGTAAACGCAGAAAGGAAAGTGGCGATGAAAATACCCAACCAATAACAACAACAAGCACAAATCATCATCAGCGACAGAATCTAAAGGAAGTAGTCTCTTTCACCTACCTTCTTACCTAGGCAGCATCCTCTCAACGACAGATGGTGGTGGTGGCACAATTGAGGATGTCAAAACCATCATCGGAAAGACAGCAAGACAAGCTTTCACTAACCTGAAATCAGTGTGCACACCTACTGCACTCCACTCAGCATAAAGCGTGAACAACATGCAGATTTTCAACACTAATTCAGTCAAGTGAGTCAGTGCTTCTATGTGATGGTTCAGAAACTTGGTGGCGTGTTACGAAAATCATTTCCAACAAACTACACACATACACCATCAACACCTGCCACCTACACTCACTCCATACTGAACATCAGATGACCAGAGAGAACAAGGAACTCACTGTAGCTGGCTGACTGGCTGGCTAGCTGGCAACCAACCAACCAACAACCCATCGCCAAACAAATATGCAGGAAAAGAAAGTGGAGGTGGATTGGATTGGGCATACACTGAGAAGACCATTCGGGACATCATGCGCCAGGCCAGGTACTCAAGTGGAATTCGAAGGAGAAACGATGAGTTGGGCGTGGAGGCGAGGGTGACATGGAGAAGGTGGTGTGAGCAATAAATGAAAGCTTGTTGGCTGTTATGGAGATAAGTTGAAGAGACTGCAGAGAAGAGAGTGAAATGGTAACGTGCCACTGAAGCCCTAATTTCGACTAGGAACCCAAAAGACAAATAATAATAATCATATTCCCAGGAGGTTTATACAATTTTTCTTCTTCAAGATTGATCAGTTGAAGGAAAGTATTACCTTGATTAAACTTGGATAGAATGTTCATTTCCAGCACGTGTAGTTCATAGGTTCTGATGCCGTATTTTTAGCAATATATATATATATATATATATATATATATATATATATATATATATATATATATATATATATATATTATGAGTTTGACTCTCTGAGATAGACGTGGTATGGTAGACTTGTGTAGATACTCAGTGATGATTGAAGGTGAAATAAAAGTGTGGGCTGCGATTGGATTCCGAGACCACTGATTTGGATCCTATCATGACCCATTTTCTCATTTCACCTTCAATCATCAGTCAGTATAAATACATCTTTGTGATGAACACACTAAGTATGCATATTTTAACGATTGTTTGTGTGGAACATTTTGGATAAAGTTAGAAGCTATAACTTGAATGTAATCCCCTTTCTCAGTATGTATACCCTTTCGCCTTTTGCATATCAGTTCTGCATTGGTATATACCCCTAATTTTCCACTGTTTCTGCCAGCTGTTTTCCCCATCACTTAACAATTACCTACATAGCTGTTTTCACACCGTTACTACTTTATCTTCCCTGACCTCTCAAGGCTGAACTCTCATTGGCTCTTAACTACATGCGGATTTTGTGTTTTCAAGGTCATTAAGGAATATACATAAATATATTCAGCATCGCTGTCAACTGTATTGACTATTGTTGAGACAGAAAAAGCTCTTTGTCAACAGTCTGTCTTCTCTTCTGGTGTTCTTGCGTCGGTAATATTTTTGTGGTGATGGTCGACGTTCTAATTTAAGTTAGAGTCGATTCGTTTGCGCGTTAGGTTCGTATCGTTGGTATTCTGCTAAACTGGTATCGCTCGTAGACTGTTAGGTAGTACTACCGGTCATGGCAAAGTGACGACGGGTGTATTTTGAAATGGACCCATTAAGCTTGAAGAAATTGATAGAGCAGCAGCTTAAAATCATGGAGTTGCTTGCTGGCTTACGGATATCTTCTCCAGTCCATTCATTTCCAGCCAATAGTAATGTCAGTAGGAGCGTCTGTGAATTCGTCTATGACCCAGATGCAAACATAACGTTCTTTACTTGGTTTCAAATATATAAAGACTTGTTCAAAGAAAACTTCACAAACACAAACGACGCATGGAAAGTCAGACTGTCACTTCAGAAGTTTGGAGCAGACAAATTGGATAAATATTGCAATTTGATCCTGCCACACAAACCTAGTGATAGACGATTTGAAGAGACCATGAAGAGACTTTGTCATCAGTTTGGTGACTATATGTCATTGTTTAACATACATTACCACTATATGAAGCTGGTGTTAAACGAAAACGATGATATTCACATTCAGGTAGGAATAGTCTACTGCATCTGTGAACGTTTCAAGTTGAAATCACTTACATAAAACCAGTTCAAAGTGTCGATCTTTATTTGTGAACTTTAGTCCCCACAATTCGCCGATTTACGAACATGCCAGTTAAACAGATTAGAGCAAGACCCACAAACGACGCCGGTTTGAATCCAATCATGACCCATTTTCTCACTTCACCTTCAATCATCAGTCAGTACTGCTGAGGAGTCCCATGCTATGACGAAGCAGCTGTCCAGTGCTCTCAGATTTTCAACAGTTCCCCAACTGATGTCAATTCATGATGAATACTACTTTTAAAGTATAAATATATCTTTATGATGAACACACTAAGTATGCATATTTTAACGATTGTTTGTGTGGAACATTTTGGATAAAGTTAGAAGCTATAATTTGAATATAATCCCCTTTCGCAATGTGTGTATCCTTTCTCTATTTGCTGCAAGTGAGTTGTATGTGTAATTCTATACTGTGCTGTTTCATTAAAATAGATTTCATGAAATTCTCACGTATTCTCTAGATGACACTAAAGTTAGATTGTAGAAGGAATCAAGTGTACTTGAATGGAAATGACAGAGATCCTTCTTTCTCTATTGTAAAGCCAAGATGGTGTATGTTTGACGATAAATTTACAAAGTAAACACTAAGTATAACCAACATACATTCATGTTAAGTAATTAAGCTTCTTTTTGTTGCATTATTGTTAACAATTTCTTGAAATGAAATAAACCTAAAGCTATCGGAAAGATACTTTCACCTTGCGGAATATTCTACCAAAAAGTTTTCTTAAAGATTATTGAATTCTAAATGTGATCGAATACCAGGGAAAGTTGAAAGATTAAGTTAAGCAATATCAATTTACTTAAACTATTAACAAGTCTATAAACTGGTTAAAGAGAATCTGAACAGTACTAGTGACTAGACAACATGATATATATGATGATGTACTGCTTTCTTTGCTTGAGTGAATGTTTGTGTTATCTTCATTTCTAATTCATAGATTGTCTAAAGTATACAAATGATAACATACGATTTTGTGTTCTGTTTCATATGATTAGAAGGGCTAAATTAATTGACTCATTGTATGGGTGACTTTGAATATACAAGATTGGGGCATATATAAGGAAGACTTATCACGTGGAAGATCAGTTATAAGAGTGAATTGGTGGTATCACATTTTTCAGACAACTGTTACCTGGACAAAGATATAACAGGATTCATGAAATTCTAATGACAATAAACACTATCAACACCCTTGTCTCATAATAGGTTGATCAATAAGGTTATAGGTTCAATTAGAACACCTGAAATTTTAAAATATACCACTTTAGAGACTATAGAAAGTTTCTTCAAGGCACTGTATTTACTTCGATATGTAGACTTGGCCAGCAACTAATCATAAGTCAAGAGTAAATTTGCTAAACAAAACTTTTAATTTCAACTATGATTCAAAATTAACCAAAATGTTGTTAGGGAATGTAAGTGTAAAATATCAAACAGCGTAGGAAAGAGAATGAAATTTAAGGGGTTTGTGGTGATTTACAGACGTTATAAGTTGGTTTTCATCATGAAGTGACATCATTTAGGGGAATATTGGAGACCTGCGAGCAATGGATAGCTGTTTCGTCCTAGTATGGGAGTCTTCAGAAATGCGTACCTACGACGCCGCCAGGGGTCGAACCCAAGACCTTCTAGTTCCATGAACAACACCTTACCATTGATCCACTAGGTCGGTATCCAATGGTCCATATTTCCAACTTCTCTCAGTTCACGACATATTCCGACCATCAACCAATGTCATCGTTGAGTATTCGTCCTCAAGGCCACTAGGTTTGCCCTACTGGTCACAACTCCCTATTGGAACTTCGTGAACCACTTCTGGAAGTTAGTCATCAGTGAGCACTAGTTCAGCTGAATATGGAAGGCTATAGGGATTTAGAAATATTATAGTTTGAAAACTGTACAATCAACCTCTTACTAGTTGAAAAGCAATAGGTTAAGCCAGGGTTTATCCACAATTCTACGAGGAAAAGTGAAGTCAATTCAACCTAAAATATTGGAATTCAATCAGATGCTAAATCAGAAAATACAAGAAGTAAGAGAAACTAGATCCACCTTTGGAAATCAAAAGTGACAGTTACCCTAAGGTTGATTATTAGCTCCAAAATCTTCTTATATTGTAAGTTCATAGTCCATTTATTGTGTGAGGGCTACTATACTTCCCTGGCTTCTAGGCTGAAGCAAGTGTTTGTCTTAGGGAACCACCTCTCAAGTCTTTGATTTAAAGTCTAATCTATAAGACAGTGGAATAATATCAGGAGCTGCATTCACATGGTTGCTGGTGACACCATTCGTTTCATCTGGAGCCAAGAGTTTTCTAGTTCCCTTAGGTGAGCCATCAGTATCCACCAATTCGGTTATAAGCACTGAACATCTGTGAAAACATCCCCACTATGTGAAGGCAGTGGATAGGACTTTTTTTCCCAGGGGCTGTGAACGCGTAGCGGAACATTTGGGAGCAAACCGTCTCCACTATGTACACTAGAAATGAATCCAACATGAAGACGAATGATGATGACTGTTGCAGCAAGAACAAATCGATTCCTTGGATCTTAAGGGAAAAGGTTATTTCTAGATCAAGAAGAAGAGAATGAACTATTCGTCTAATTGCTTTTCAGTTGAAAACAAATTAACAATAAAAAATGAACCCTAAACTGGCATTGAATGCCTTGTCTTCAAAACTCCAAACTTGAAAAATAAAGCATTTTTAATAGGTGATGATAATATATTAATATGATGGACATTGGCTAACAATAAAATTCAAAATGTGCGTTTTATCCTATTCGGAACTAATCAGCTGGGTGTATCTGCCCGCCCAGTAAGTTATGTTGTTCCCATCACGACCACAGCTCAGAACTATCCACTTCAAACACCTAGTTGTTATGTACTAGGATATCGAGCTATAACGCTATTCGATGAGATATACATAGGCTTGAGTATACATATATGCTTATTTAGTATCGAAGAGCATACGTGAAGTTGAAAAATCACAACTTTATGCCAATGAAATTCTTGTTTAAATCTGATACAAGGTCATTTGTTTGATTAGTTGAATTTAAACAAAGGTTTCAAACAAATTAGATTACCAGTTTAAAATCGTTTTGCACCAGTATTTACAAGTTTAGCCGATCATCTCGAGAAAGTTATATAGGGCGTATTACTAGACAACTTAACAAGCGTATTGCTAAGCATCTACCTTCATGGTTGGGAAAGTGACAGATAAAATCCATCAGAAATTCGGTTTTATCTCACCTCGTTCATGGTGGTCACTTGGCAGATAAGAACATTGCTTTCAAGATTATTCACCTTATACCACTACCTCATCTTTCAAAAGGTATTCAAACGCGTCTTTTACACGTAGCAGAAGCTGTAGGAATTCGAGTTAATAATCCTAGTCTTTGTATCCAGAAGAAATTTGTACATCCCTTAGATAAGGGACCAAGGAATACTTACTTAATAACTTTATCAGTCAGTTTTGTTTCCTACTCCTCTCTTATTCTTCACCCCATTCGAATACTTACTGTATTTGTCTAGGCTTTGCTTATCCACTTACCTCGACCTTCACTATTACGTAACTTTTATTTTCGCAAGCTTTTCACCCATTTTGATTATCTAAGTGTCTACATTTTCATGTTGCTTTCTTGGTTCTTATCACCATCATTATCAGCTATAATGCATATGCTTTGATCGATGTTAACACTTTTATCAATTTCATTATTATTATTTGTATTATTATCACCATCACTATTTTAAAGATTTATCACATCGTGAGCATACAAAAGTTGGAAATATGGACAATTGGATTCTGACCCAGTGGATCAATGGTAACGTGCTGGCCACGGAACCTCAAGGTCTCGGGTTCGATCCCTGGCGGAGTCGTGGGTTCGCACTGCTTAGGAGTCCCATACTAGTGGGATGAAACAGCTATGCAGTGCTCCCAGGTTTCCTTTGTTCCTCCAACTGATGTCAGTCTATGATGAATAACAACTTGAAATATTTCTTAATCCCCACAACTCCCTCAAAATTCAATTCAACTGCTGCTCACTGGTGACTAGTTTCGAGAGGTATTCCCGAAGTTCCAATGAGAAATCATGACCAGTGGGTCTAGCCTGATGGTCGTGAGGATAGTTACTCAACGACGACATTGGGTGGAGGTTGAGCCATGTCGTGAACTGAGAAAAGTTGGAAGTATGAACCATTGGAAATCGACCCAGTGGCTCAATGGTAACATGCTGGCCAAGGAACCTGGAGGTCACGGGTTCGATCCATGGCGGAGTCGTGGGTGGTGCACTGCTGAAGAGTCCCATACTGGGGCGAAACAGCTGTTCGGCACTCCCAGGTTCCCATTCTTCCTCCAACTGATCCTAGTCTGCGATTAATACCAATTTGAAAAATATTAATTACTTCTAAGTGATAACGAAAACTTGTTCAGGAGATATTAACTAGTAGATAGCACAAATGCGTGTGTCTTTAAAGGTGACTTTAAAAACAGCTGAAGTAACCAATCAGAGTACTCTGTTTTATGAAACAATCTAGAATCATCCACTAAAAACCTCAGTTGTTTAATTCATGTTTTGATCTTATCATATTTTATTTTATAGATAAGAATGTTTTCAAGAGAAAGCCTGATCTATACACAAATTCTATTCAACCACCTTGTAGTCGTAATGAAGTATTAAATAAATGTATGTGGGGTACATGCCTAAATCTTGGTGGGAATTTGTACAAGTGTGATTGTCTATCAGAGTATCGATATAACCCAACTAAAGGATGTGTACTTCATGCTGATACAAGTGAGATATGAATTTAAATATACTAATTTTTCACTGTATATTGTTTAATACTGTTGCTAATGTTACTTAATAGCGACTAACCTTGGTGGTTTGACAAATCACCACACACTACTCAAGAAGGTATTTATAATCAGATGTATACAGGCATTTTATGAATTAGAAACATTTGTCTCCCGATACAGGTATAAAACAAGCAACAAACGTAATTCATAGTAGGATTTACTGAATACATATATTCCAGTACAACTCATCCTATATGGTTCAGAGACTTGGCGGCGCGTTACGAAAAGCCTTTCCAACAAACTACACACACATCATCATCAACACCTGCCACCTACGCTCACTCCATACTGAACATCAGATGACCAGAAAGAACAAGGAACTCACTATGGCTGGCTGGCTGGCTGGCTGGCTGGCTGGCTGGCTGGCTGGCTGGCTGGCTGGCTGGCTGGCTGGCTGGCTGGCTGGCTGGCTGGCTGGCTGGCTGGCTGGCTGGCTGGCTGGCTGGCTGGCTGGCTGGCTGGCTGGCTGGCTGGCTGGCTGGCTGGCTGGCTGGCAACCAACCAACCAACCAACCAACAACCCATCGCCAAATAAATATGCAGGAAAAGAAAGTGGAGGTGGATTGGATTAGACATACACTGAGTAGATCATTCGGGGACATCATGCGCCAGGCCATGTACTCAAGTGGAATTCGAAGGAGAAACGACGAGTTGGGCGTGGAGGTGCGGGTGACATTGAGGAGACCATGTGAGGAAGAAATGAGAGCTTCTGGGCAATCGTAGCGCCAGGTTCAAAAGACTGCAGAGAAGAGAGTTCAACGGAGGCGTGCTACTGAAATGGTATGTTCCACTAGGAACCCCCAAGCGACAAATAATAATATTAGGACTCATTAGCGCTTTCTACTCTACATACATAACTTCATATGTATTCTGTTGTACAATAAAGGAATACACACAAACATAATACAACAGACTAAGACATTGACTGAGGCATGGCAACACACAGTGAGTGAATCATTTACTACTTATGTCAAACAGAGTCAAGATTTGGTTGGGAGAGCGATAACGAATTGATCATGAGAAATAAAAGGATTAGAAATGGATTACATCATTTCGAACAAAACTATTAGTAGTCAACTAGATAGCTTAATAAAGGTGTACACTAAGAGAAGAGAATATAGGTGTTAGGTGAGCAAAAATATTGATTGCAGTAATAATAATACGAGTAAGTGGTAATACTGATAATGATAACAATGAGAACTTGAATACTGAAAAGATAAAAACTGACGTCATTTTGAAACAAGGTAAATGAACATCAATTAAGAAGCTTGGTAACAGTGTAAAAGTAAAAGAGGTTAGTGTAATAGTTGGACGATAAAAATGATAATAATGATGATAGAGAGAAGCCATTTGGCTTTTAAGCGGAGAAGTCCAAGAAGACATCATAGTACAGCAGAATGATAGTGAAGGTATGAATATATGCGAAGTACAGGAAGAAATAAAGTAGAAGGAACATTTATAAATAAGATTACTTCAACACTTCTACCATGGTAGATTTAGGGGGACTACTATCTGTTTCTGTACACACAGGCTCGGTTGCAGTTATAAAAGTGCATGTGCGATTTGAGTTCGTAAACCGAGCCTATGTGCACAGAAAGAGATAGTAGTCACCCTGAACCTATCATGGTAGTATTTGGGACTTATTTATTCTTAGGAATTCAGTTGGTTGTGGCTAGCAAAGGAATCCAGGACGTGCGTTTCATCCTATTCGGAACTAGTCAGTTGGATGTAGCTGCGACCCATTGAGTGATGTTGTTCCTATTGAAACTCGAACCTCGTACCCATCGCTTTTTAATTATGCCTCGCTTTTCCATTTGTTTCTTCCTATACTTCTCATATTTACCTCTTCCTTATCACTCTGCTGTACTATCATGTCCTCTTGAACTTCTCCGCTTACTAGTCAAATGACTTATGTCCATCATCATTATTATCATTATGGCGCTTCTTATCGTTCCATTCCTACCTCTTTAACCACGCGGGATAATGTTCTTCAGCCCTTTTGGATCACAATCACACCAAACGACCTATATACCTGGCTCCACAAGAGCAGGTGAATTGACATATGCACATAGGAGTGGTCAGATATGAAAGTTTCTCCTTTGAGGTCTTAGATATCCTTCGGTGACAGGAGAATACTAGTCTCAGTGTTGATGCAAATAATGTTCTCCTAAGAGCGTTTGATATCCTCCTCTTAACAGTGCCAGTAACAAAATCTCCTTTGAAGTTTAGATTCATATAGAGTGTTTTTTTCAGCACGGTGGTAAACGTCTCTTTGCATTTGTCTAAGAAGTGTGGTGAGAATCCGTTTTCAATCAAGATGTACTTTAGAACAAAAATTTCTTCTTCTTGAACACAAATCACCCTACCTCAAGAACCCTTCTCGTTCAAAGTCATCGATGAAGGAAAAAGAAACCTCACAAAGGCTGTAAGTTTTTGTATTTTCTGCATCCCAAAAGCTCTTGCCATCCATATAGAGAAACCTGAATTGTGTACACAAAAGAAGATTGTTCAACCACTTCTCCTTTCATCGTCTTAGTTTTCAGTCTCTAAAATCTCCTCTACCTCACGCCTAACTCTCCATGTTTCAATTTGCTACTCATTCTTGTTGCTATTCTCTGCCTGACTACAATTCAGTTTCAAATTATGTCATCGTCATGTTATGAAACTTCTTATCCAAACTTATTCACTAGTTATCGGTGTTTCGATTTTTCGATTTTAATGACAGCTCACATGATTGAGACTATTTGTGTTGCCACGCTTGGCAAACCGTACTTAACTATCAAATCTTTACACTAGAGAGAAATGTACAAATTTACGATTGCATGGCTTTGAGGATGTGAAATCGCAGAAAAGAGGAGACACTTCGCTGAAATATTCTTGTTCTTCTTCCATATCCTGATGGGTAGATTTCACAAATATCAACTAGTGCCTTGCATCATCACGGTCGCCAAACAAGAAATACACATTTCGATAAGGTTTTGGGGATTCAGAAATATTTCAAGTTGGTATTCATCATAGACTGACATCATTTGGAGGAACAATGGAAACCTGGGGTCACTGGACAGCTGTTTCGTCCTAGTATGGGGCTCCTAAACAGTGCGCATCCACGACCCCGCCAGGGATCGAACCCAAGACCTTGAGGTTCCGTGACCAGCAGGTTACCATTAAGCCAATGTTACTCAACGATAACATTGGGTGGCGGTTGCGCTATGTCGTGAACTGACAAAAGTTGGAAGTATGGACGACTGGATTCTGACCCAGTGGATCAATGGTAAAGTGCTGGCCACGGAACCTCAAGGTCTCGGGTTATATCCCTTGTGGGGTCGTGGATGCTCACTGCTGAGGAGTCCCGTACTACGGCGAAACAGCTATCCAGTGCTCCCAGGTTTCCTTTATTCCTCCAACTGATGTCAGTCTACGATGAATACCAACTTGATATACATATTTCTTTACTTACGTTTAATAACTGACAGGAAATTTCATCGTTCATTGTCAATCATTCCAATCCAATCCCATTCTAGTTAACATTCAACATTAAAGTAGTTGGTGGTAGTCAGATGCTCATAACTTAGGTTATTTGAGAAAACGAGAAGTTCAGCAAAGATATCTTTTTCGACAAGTTCAACCTCCATAGCTATACAATCGTAATTTCTACATTTGTCCAACTATTTTGTATACTTATTTTATATTATTATTTATTATTTTTCCCCTGGTTTCCTAGTGGAACATACCACTTCAGTAGCAGTCTTCTGAACCTGGCGCTACGATTGCCCAGAAGCCCTCATTTCTTCCTCACATGGTCTCCTCCATGTCACCCCCACCTCGGACGCTCAACTCGTCGTTTCCCCTTTGGACTTCACTAGACGGCCTGGCCTGGCCTGGCGCGTGATATCCCCAGTCGGCCTTCTCAGTGCATGCTGAATCCATCTCCACTTCCTTCTGCATATTTGTTGGGTAATAGGTTCTTAGTTGGTTCCTCGTCAACCAGAGTTCCTTGTTGCTCATCGTTTCTGGCCATCTGATCTGAGCTTCAGTATCGAGCCAGTGTAGGTAGCTGTTGGTGATGAATATCTGTAGTTTGTTGGGAGTGCTTTTCGTGACGCCCCAAGTCTGTCAACCATCACATAGAAGCACTGACTTGATATTAGTGTTGAAAATCCGGATATTGTTCACGCTTTATGCTGAGTGCAGTAGATCTCCACAATGATTTCAGATTAGTGAAAGCCTGTCTTGTTATCTTTCTGATCCTGGTTTTGACATCCTCGTCTGTGCCGCCGCCTGTAGTGTAAACAATGCTGCCTAGGTAGGTGAAAGAGGCTACTTCTTTTAAGTTTCTCCCGTTCATGGTGATTGGTGCTTGCTGTTTTTGAGGTTGGTGTTGGTTGGGTATCTTCATCACTTCTGTCTTCTCTATATTCACTTGAAGTCCCCTCTTCACTGCCCTGCCTCGCCTCTTCTGTCAACTTGTTATTTTTCACCTGTAGATCTTCGAGTTTTTGCCACAAGACATTACACACGAGTCATCGGCGAAATCCAAATCTTCTAGGTTCTTTTCCCCGGTCCAGTGTATTCCTCTCTTCTCGTTCCTCACAGTTCGCTGCATGATCCAGTCCACTACAATCAGAAATATCATGTGTGATAGTAGACAACCTTGTTTTACTCCTGTCTTCACTTCAAAGTTATCATCACTGAGCTTCCCATTGTGGATCACTTGGCATATGGCATCTTTATATAGTTGCTGAATGAGGTTGATAAAGATTTGTGGCACTAAAGCCGTAGTGTTAAAGCAACTGCCAAAATTATTTCCCGGTAGACGATTTTGAAGGCCTTTTCAAAGTCGATGAAGTTGAGGTAGAGTAAAGTAGAGTTGAGTTGACTGCCATTCTATACTCTGTTCTATGATGATATGTAGTGTAGCATTGCAATTGGATCCGCACA